CCCCCCCCCCCCCGGCGACCATACTTCAGCAATGAGACATTCCACTGTGCACTCTGTACCGAAAAGCGACCAAGCCCCTCTTCACTGCACTCACGTTGCGAATGCAGTACTCCAGGACGTCCTTGGTGATGACCTTGTAGACGTAGTGCATGTCGTAGACGTAGCGAGAGCGCTGCCACGTGATCTGGAAGACCGGCCACAGCGCCTCGTTCTTGCGCTTGCCCTCGTGCTGTTCGTTCACCTCTGTCGGCATCGAACGCAATCATCACCCCCCCACCAACAGAGATGGGCGAATGTCGGTTGTGTTGGTAAATCACAACCACAACAGCAGTAGGGCAAACCGCGGTGAGTGCGTGCAGCAGGTTTAAGGTTGCGCCTCGATTTCAGGACATGCGCGTGTCGTTGCCAAGAACAAAGCTACTCTACTGTTTGCGATGAAAAGCGTTTGGGTTTCGTCAGGTGGAAAGGCGCGACAACGGCATCCTCTCCTTGGCGCTGTCGGTCTACCGCTGGAGACACTCTAGAATAGTAAACATAGCACAAAAGTCTAGCCTTCACCGAGGTTGAGACGGAAGACTGCGGTAGGGCCATCATCAGGTAGGTTAGTGGTCGGTCGGTCTGCCTTCGGTACATCCCGTAAATGTCACAAGATAACACACCCCCTGGACCGACTTTCAAATCTCGATTTCTCAATAACAGCAAGAGTCACGGCGCCGAAAACGGCGGCGTTGGAACCGCCCCGTCGAGAGCTTTCCAAAAATGTATCGTTTCGTTTATGCATCCTCTTCGTCGTGGAGTAATCGAGCATTGAAAATCGGTCCACGGGGGTGTGGTATCTTGTGTCATATACGGTAGTTCCGTTGTCGCTATCAACGACGTAAAAAGCATTGGTGTGTAGCTGACTAATTAATACTCTAGTGGTCGTGGTGCTTCTCAACAATTGGGATCGACTCCCTTTGTCAACCGAGACTTAAGACCGTACCTTCCCAGGGATGCGTCAGGATTGGCGATAAGTGACAAGATACATGCACACAGCTTTTCACGGGGCTGCTGTTGCACCACTTCGACGAGGTAATGAGCTAGAGTCAAGGGGACCGCCCCGCGACCGTGGTGCGCTCCACCGCACTGCAACACAGCACAACACACCGCCAATGCGAGCGATGACCAGGGCTAAGGTGCAGACAAGAGTGGAGGGAGGCGACACATCACATCCCGGCAAAGGTCACCAGGACGCCGCACGTCGGTAGTGCTGCTGTACATTGCTGTACAAATACCGCCGTTGAGGCGTTGAGGTGGCCCTGCGTGCTGATGCCAGCAAGCAGCCTTAGACCACAAAGCCTAGCGAAATAAAAGCTCCTGGACAATAAAAAAACCCTAGACCTAATCACTTTTATGGCCCCTTTGTAAGTGCGTTGGCGAACGGCACACGATTGCCTTCGACCAAGGGCTTGACTATGTGCCTTCTGAAGGGCGGTAAACAAGCTTCAGGTAGGTTGCCGCGTGAGAAACAACCAGCTGAGAGAACCATGGTACTCACTTTCCCGCAGCTCGTTTTCGAGCGCGTTGAGGGTTGGCTCGAGAATCTCGAACCCGGGTGGTGGGCGTTCTTTCCTCGCAAACCTCGACATCTTGGCGGGATCCTTCTGCGTCACAGCGGCTACACAGCAGCTGTGTGTGTGACCAAGCACACCTGCTCCAACAGCCAACCTCCAAGCTCACCCAGGGGTTCCGCATCCTGCACAATTACCCCTCCCTACGAAACAGACGAAAAAGAGAAGTCCCCCCGCATTACCGCCGCCGCTAGGCCACAGAGCATTATACTCGAGCCACACACAGCTCAAACAGCCAGGAAGCAGCAAGCACGAATTCTCCCCATTTGTAATCTATACATCTCGCGTGTGGTGGCCCATTTCGTTTGCTTTGGCGAGGACGGGGGGGGTAAACACAGCGAGAACTTCCCAAGAGCTTGGTGATACTTCCCACAGGAGACCAGGACCGCTGACTTTCGAGGTTTGGACCCTTGACGAGAGACAATGTCCAACAACGTCAGCAGCAGCAGCAGCAGCACCAGCAGCGCTGCCGGAGCGCCTGAGCTAGGACCTCAGAGCAAGATTTCTATCGTCCCGGACGGGTCGGCTGGATCGAGCCCACACGGGAGCGGTCATAGCGTTGTGGAGAAGGCACACAGCAGCCCCGCGAATGGTGTCGAGATCTCGCCACCAGCACCGGCACCACCGGCAGAAGTAGTCGTGGTTGCCGCTAAGAAGGCCGACCCGCCAAAGCTGGCGTTTAACCCCATCAGCCCTGGGCTGACCAACGTCAAGCTACCGCTGGGCCCTTCACCCAAGGAGGAAGCGAAAACGGTGAGGGAGGATTGTAGGGTTTGGTGTGTGTATCGCGTGTTCATGTCAAAAAGGTGCGCGTCTAGACATGTTGTGTCGAGTTTCAAGTTTCCAGCCTCCCTCTGTACTATCAACAAGAGCATCCAACCATCCAACCTGCTATTAACTACCAAAGTGCCACACACCCTAGGCTTCGTGCGCACGGCGCGCACGCTACACGACGTTCGTTGCTCTAGCGGTGATGTTCTTCTGCTCTGAGGATACTTGTGGAACAATCTTGCCTGCACCTGCTCAAATCGAACGTTGGAGTTGTGCTGTAAGGATCTACGGCCTCGTATCCTTGTCTGTACGGCATGCTTGAATCACAACGTACTACTGCTGTAGGCTCAGCTGTACCGGTACGTAGCAGTACTGTAGTAGCAACTCAAAAACGCGTTGTGTTTCGAGAGTTACGAGCAACGAATTGTCCTATAGACTGACTACACCTGTGTTCGGGTTATCTGTCGTATCTTGTCTCCTTGTTTGTCCTCCCGCGGAGCATTTTTATCAAGCACGTCATCGACCGTGTAGTACTCGTAGCATTTCTGCCGAGTAGGACCCCCCCTTCCGACTACGCACTCCTCCTGCGGTGCTTGCCTTCGATATTGTACACATCCGACGGCACCAACCTCTGCTGCAACTCCTCCACTTCCGCCGTGGGTCCCGGCTACAAGCAACGCTCTACAAGTCGTAGGCTGTTGATGACGTGACTTGTTTCCATCAAAGAAACATCTTGGGGAACCAAGGTGTGCCAAAAATTTTGTGTTGGTTTGGTGTGATGGTTAACAAGTGTTGTTCCTGATCGTTTTCCTTCGATCCGCATACGCTGGTTTTCCCCCATCGTGCAAGGCTTCGCCCGAGAAAAAGGAAAAGGAGGAGCCGCCTGTGGAGGCTAAGGTCGGTGACCTGGTAGAGTTGTTCATGGGGAGGGGCCAGGTTCGGGGCATCCGACAAGAGGATGGCATGCTCGAAGTGTGGGCCGTGGGCTGGGAGATGGCCGGCGAGCAGAGGGCTCGCTTCTTCGTCCCGAGGGAGACCGTCAAGGTGGTTCCGACGGTGTACTACAAGATGAACGGTGAGAGGGAGTGTTTTCGTCTGATGTTTCTGAGAAATTTCCTCTAGAGAAAACAACCGGCTGTTCGGACCGCTTGAAGGATCGCAACATGTTGTGTAATGCCGCTTTCGCTGCTGTGTGCGAGAAGTACATGTATCCCACCGGCGAAAGGGCGTTTGGTGTGGAAAACGGTTTTTGCCTCCCGGTCCTTTGTCGGCAGTATTAGAATCGTCGGCAGTACTGGAAGACACTGTGAATCTGGACCGCTGTATCTTGCCGCCGTGGGGGTGTATGCCGCGATGCCTTGCAGATGTTGAGGCGTGCTCCGTCAAAGATCAACGGAGAAACAAACCACAACAAGAGATGCATGTAGTCGTGCTCGACGCAAGCGCGCCTTATATGGTCGGAAGATAAGAAAAAACACAAGAAATTTACCCTGTAGCGGCAGTCAGCGTGCATTCAAGTTGATTCGATCCTGTCGACAGCTGTACAGTTTTTTATTGTAAATCTGGAACAAGCTCAGCGCAGAGCAGAATGCAGGCCGTGTGTTCTTTGAGAGATAACTGTGCCGCCTTGATGAGGTTCTGTTTTTGTGGGAGCTGCTTCAGGTAGGCGTCCGTCGAACGCATGTGTATCGCTATTCAGTGAGGCGACATATGACCCGGTTTTTTAGGAGGGTGGGGGATGGCTCCGCCATGGGGGACCGTGCACTGGACCAAATGTATAGTGTATACGAATGTGTTGGGAAATATTTGCGCAAGCGTTTTCTACGCTCCGATAAGACCCCGGCATACACGGGCATGGTACATGTCAGTGAGGTGGTTCGTTTGTTCGCCGTCGGCCAGAGCGGTTGTCGTCCGCACTCGCTGGCCGCTCACGTGATGCTCGTCGCCCTCCCGGCGTGTATCCCGGCGCTGTCCTCCTATGCTTCGCTGCACGCGTGATGTGTGCTTCCGTCGTGCTGTTTGTTTCAGCCCTGGAACGGCTGCAGATGGCCGCGTGGTTGAAGGAAGAGGGTGCCCAGCTGTTCAAGGCTGGCGACTTCGAGAAGGCTGCCACAAAGTAAGCTAGTTTTGTCAGCTCTCTCGTTTTCCCCCGTCTTCTGTGATAGGCTGTCACAGTACGCTATGATGATGTTTGATTTTCTGTTATGCACTGTTGATTTTCTGGGATGGCCTTCCTGTTCGGAGGAAGCATCACGTAGTCGCATCTTCGCCCTTCCGATTGGTCTTTCCTCTGGACGATGCGCACTATTGCAAGCATCAGCGCCCGCCGTAATCTGTTTTTGTTGTGCCACACCAAAGCAGTGAGACTTCGCATGTATCTTTTTTATCTCTCTGCCTTACGTTGGCTTTCAGCGTCTTGGCAAGGTGATATTTTATTGAGTGAACAGTAGACATGTTGGCACTGTCGTCTTCAACCATGAGCATGGTCCAACCAATGGAGAAAGACAAAAATTCAGCGCACGCCCATGACTTGCCCTACGTGTTGTCGTTGTTGGTGACACACCTGGTGTAGGTATATGAAGTCCATCGGCGTGCTCAAGACGGGCGAGTTCACCACCAACGCCCAGAACGCGAGAGCGGTGCAGCTGATGATCCCGTGCCACAACAATGCCGCCACGTGCTACATCAAGAGAAAAAACTACGGGGACGCAAGGCTCCTTACAGGGAACGTGAGAGTTTGACATCCATGGGTCCCGTGTTCAACACACAACGGTGTATAAATTCGATGAGTATCGTTGCCTTTATGCGCTCGTGTGTAAGCAATTGATAGCATTCCCTAGGTCGCTGAATTTCGGAACGATGAGGGTAGCATATTTTGGGTTTGTCCCACAGCTAGTCTTTGCAGGCAGCACAAGTGCAGAACGTATGGCTGTTGCACAACAGTTCTTTGTCCACGTCCAAGCTTAGGATTTGCGGTAGGGTTGTGCTGCTGTAGACTTGCACCGCCGTGTAGATTCGACGAAGAATATGTTGACGCCAGGCTCGTGTGAGTGATCGATGCGGGGATCGCAGAGCCACAGGTGCTGTTTTCTCGGACAATGAAGCGGTTAACAACAAGCGGAAGTCGGCACAATTAATTTCGATGCTGGCTCAACTATGGGCTGCTGTTGAGGGTCGTCAGAGGCATCTTGTTCCAGGTGCCTTTTCTACTGTAGGCTGTTGTTCTCCCCACCGGAGCTTTCGTGACGATGATGACATCTATCTCTTGTGGGTGAAATCCGATGAGATCTCATCCCCCGGGAATCGACTCCGATCCACGATGACCTTTTCACTTGAGGCGTTGTGGTGATTTTCGAACACAGGTCGACACCCTCTGCAGCGCCTTGGAGCGCAACAGGGACGGCAAGGTGATGAAGGAGCTGAAGGAGAGAGGGGTCGGGGAGACCACCATCCTGGGCCAGTGGTGGTGCAAGGGTTTATTCTTGGGAGGCAAGGCTTGCCTCTACCAGAGCGAGAATGAGGAGGCCGTAAAATACCTCAAGAAGGGGAGCAGGGTGAGTGCCGGTGTACTTGACGTCTTGCATATCCGGTACGCACCGTACCGTAGCGTTGCCTGAGTTGTGCCGCGCACCCTGGACCGTTTTCTTTTTGAGCTCAATTATTCCACGACGAGGTGCCGAAATCAAAAGATGACGTTTTCGGAAAAGCTCTCGACGAGACAGCAGTTCCAATGCCACAATTTTGGGCACCCCAACTGCTTTGGAATAGTCGAGCTTCAAGAAAATCGCTCCAGGGGGTGTGATATCTGACGTCACCGGGGTACGTTGCTTGGGTGCTGGCAAATGACACCCTCCGATGGTGATATTTGGGAGGGCTGTGACGTCAGGACCGGACTGGCTTGCCGTGTGCGGTTGTCGTCGCAGTGCAACGTGTATTGGAGTTCATTTCGTATCGATCGCTCCTGCTCTTGAACAACAAGTTATTGTGTTTTGTGAGATAGGGTTGTTGGAGTGGCCGGCGTTTGTAGTGATGTCATATGTAGTTTTGGGGCGCGCGCTGTCGGCTGACCCTCTGCAGCTTTCTCCGCATGCTTGCAGAACCGGGCACGTTCTGGAGGCGCTTGTTTTGTTCGACCTGGCGTAAACCAGGGCGTTAATTGTTGTCGAAACAAGATCGTCCCAGAAAGAAGAGGAAGCTAGCTGTGCCGTGGTTGTGAACCGCGTTATCACAATTTTAGCCCTTTTCAAGGTGGAGTGAGTCCGCTTATTTTCCCGAGCCGAAGCGCAATCTGTGGACAACGGTAGTAGGGGCATTTGCTGCTGCTGGTGGTTGCTGCTGCTCTTTTGCTGCGGATGCTTTGCGGCGGTTGTGGTCGATCTCTTTTTCTTGTGTTGCCTCCTCTCGAAAAAGGTCATCCGGTGGTGATGACTGGATGCTCCCAAAGAGCGTTGGAGAGCGAAAGGCGCTCTGCCGTCCCTTGACCCCCGTTTCTATCAAAACCATCGATACCACCGCCGGTCCGTGGAAACCTTGCTATCGCCAGTTGGCCAAGCCTGCGGCTCTGGCGAAGCTTCGTGCGGAGATCAACAACGAGCTTGAGAAGGCGACGAAGCGATTGACCAGCCAGACCAAGAAGGCGCAAAAGATGTGGTCAAAGGTACATTTTCATGTAGGCACAAGCACGTTGTGGAAGAGGACGGCATGACTGGCGGGCATGGTGTCGCGATGGTAGCATCGCTTTTCATGGCTTGAGAATGTTGCAAAAGTAGTTGCAAACTGTTGCTGCAACTTTGCTCGGGAAGTTTGTCAGGAACACTTTGGTTCCCGCTTATTATGGGACGAAGAAAATTTTGTACACGGGACCGGCGGAATGCGGAGGCGTGATTTTATTTTTCCAGCAACGGCGAGAAGATGGCAGACGCCTTTCATATCGCACCGCGAAAGAAACCGCCAGCGCGTGCGGGAGAGGGTAGTTGCAACCTTTTTCTCCACGCTCACGATACCCTAAGACAAACACAGCTATATCTGTCGCACGGCGTTTGTTAGGTATGTTTTATTCCCAGACAGCATGTTCGGTGCGGCAATGGGGTCTGTTGGGAATACTCTTGCATACTAAAGTGCGGGAAGTCGTTTCCTATGCACCATCAAGATTGTGGGATTGATGTGTTGCGCTCTCTTGGGTATGGTTGTGACTACATGCACCGTGGCAATGCATTCCTTGACGCTTGAAGAGTTCGGACGGGATCACTTGGTAGAACATTCATCACTAGTCCACCAATGTTTGATGACGTCATCATGTGTTGTGATAAGTACAACTAATGATTTAACGATATCGTGATATTATTGTGTGAAATTGCATGGCCCGATGTGATGACATGATTGTTTTATCTGTATATGGCGTGGTGGGCGACGCAGTGAATCGATATGCCCTCTCGAATTCATCCGGGTTCGCATGTGCCAAGAACGCTGATTCGAACTCCCCTTTATAGACCTGACACAGCAGTAGGCAGGCGTGACATCGGTTGCTTGGTTGAAAATGTCTGGAGATGATGCCGCAGGACGTGTCGGGTAAAGGGCGCCTTAACTTTGTTTCCGTAGCCGCGTGCACTAGGGTATTTCAAAAATTGGTGCGAGTTTGTGCTACGTGCGTTGTTCGTAAGATTAAAAAGAGAAACAGTCGTTCTCCCGTTCGCTCGATTCCCTCATTCCCCCCCGCCGGTTTTCCTGCCTTTCCTTGTCTTCCTGCCTTGTCTCCTTACTACACTGTACAGGCGTTCTCTAAGAACTCTACCGACGTTGCGCCAGAGCAAGAAAGAGTTCCTGCTGCGGCCGAGAAGAGAGCTTTGCCGTCTATGCCCACGCAAGCGATGGACGTGAGGAATGGGGGTCCTGAGAAGTCCGTGATGGAGCGATTGGAGGCGTTGGGAAAGGTCGGTGTTGTTGGTTGATTTCGTATTTTGTTGTAATCGATGCAAATTACGGCATCATTTGGTATTTCTACGATTCGGGCTCATTCCAGTCCGAACAAGGAGGGTGAGATACGTACGTCACACATTGTCCGATTGGTGCTGGCTTCCGCATGACAGCCGTAAGAGTTTGCACAGGAAAGAAGAGGGATCCACTAGCTGTTGCAGTCGGCACCGACTCTATAAAATGCGCCCAAAGGAGGTTTGGGATGCGTCCTTGAATCGGAGGGCTCCGAGGTGTGGCTTTGTCGCCAGGGTTGCCCGAAACTCTTGTTCCTTTTCAGCTCCCTTGCAAGTGGTCCGATTGCTCGCTTGTGTCAGCGACAACACCTCTGTGATGAGCGCTGTGAGGCGACCGTAGCTGCATCACACGTCGGTAGAACCAACCTCGTCTTTGCTGACTGTTGGCGATGCATCACTTTTGACTCGGTCGCACTATTGTCGTTCTTTGGCTGTGTCTCCAATAATAGCCCTTCGATACCACATATCCTACAAGGCTACAGGCGGTTGATCGTGGTACATAGCGCGCCGACGAAGCAGTAACCAACAAGCCTGTCGCACGCTTCCTTTGTGCCGCGAAAAGATGGGGGTGGTTCCAGCGATTCCGGAGCCTAGCAAGACAACCCCACAAGATCAGGAGCAGGGCGAAGAAGGCGAATCGGAAGAGGAAGAATACGACTCAGAATACGACGACGACGACGACGACGACGACGAGTCAGGGTCTTTAGCGTCGAGCGGGCTGCTGTGGGGGTCGCTAGCGGTCGGGGCTGTCGCGCTCTCCGTTGCGACGCTCGTGGCGTTGGGGAAGAGACGCTGAGTGTCGGTGTGGTGCCGCCGTGACCGTGCGGTTTCTTCTTGTTCGTGTGTGCGTGGCTTGCGGTTGTTTGGGTTGGCTCTGTCCGCGACGGAGACACACTCTGGTGTTTTTTTCACGTTGTCGGAGGGAATAACGTTCGACCTACTTCTCTGCGGGAGACAATGGGTACCTGGTACGCCGTACTTGAAGATTTTCTAACGTTAGGCCCACACGCTCCGCGTAGGTCTTGTTGGTCCGGCTTCCGTAGAATATGCGGTGATGTGTAGTCTACACTGAAAGATTCGCTCCTTGTGAAGATCGGGAGGAAGTGAATAAGGCAACCTCTACCAGACCCAGGCATGGCGACATGCTGTTAGTTGTCTGCAGCTGCTGCAAAGCCGACGACTTTGAGTAGGCGTGTTGCTCGCTCTCGCCCGATTGGCGACAACGACGCTGTGAAGTAACTCCCAACTAGCCTTGGGTGAGCATCTTGACAACCAGAGAGAAGCGAATTCGTTGGGGGCAGCTATATTTTCTGATCGGTAAACAAGATAAGGTCGAGGAAACCGTGGCTGAGTTTGGATGACCGCTCACCACATCATTCATGCATGGTTTCGAAAGGGCGTGTGGGACACGGACAACGTAATTTACTTGATTGACTACGTTTGCCGACCGATGTTTCCGCAATCGTGTGATTACGATGATCTACCATGCATACCTGCACGCACGTTGCTGAAAAGCGCGCAGTCTCTCGTCTCTCATAGACGATCTGTTAATTTGTTGATTCTTGCGGCCGGCTTGGGCGAATCCTCGGCGTCAGGTTACAACGCCGTTGCCAAGCGACGAAAACCCAACCCCGATGGCAAACACCG